CCAACCCGCAGTGGGCCAGCGAGGTTGACTATGGACCCCTCATTAGGGTAGGCTCCGAGCCCCTCGGTGGGGATATGTAATGACCTGGTGATGATGAAATTTTTTCAAATGTACATTTGTACACTTAATGTATATTTAAAACACATTTACTTGGTTTGCATTTTTGCAACTGATTACTATGTTTTTGTGGTATTTTTTTTAATTTTAAATACTACATTCTATTGTGTATCGTATCGTATTTACGAGTTGAATTGTTTTATTAATTTTAAAACTACAAATTTAATTCTTACATTGGAAATGTAAAGTTTTCGAGTCCTGGAAATAAGTTGCAACTATCTGCACACGTGATTTTACTTAACGCAACTTGTGTACACTCGAGTTAACTTAAGTAAGCATTCTAAGCAAGAACTCTGCTTCATACTTGAGTGAGTTCCGAGCCGGTTCATGTTGGTCTTTGTGGTATTATCTTGCGCAAACTATATTCTAATTTAACTTTGGTCTATACAGAAATCTGTATGCGCCTCGTGACGTCTGCTTCAACTAATGTTCTTCACTATGTTGTTTATCCGGTATCACTGGAATTAATTTTATTTAATTAATTGAATACTTTTTTATTAATTAACATTACAGAGCAACATATATAATGCAGTATTTTCTGTTTATGACCACGCCAATATTAAAAATAATGATGTCTCAATTTTTCATAGAGAAAGACAAAGAAAATATGCTTTTACTCGACAGGAATACACAGTGTTTTCTGGATTAAATAAATATCAAATATTAAATTACTTGCAGAACAAAGTACAAAAAGCAGTACGGTCACTTTTCATTAAGTTTCTTTGAATCAACTTTATGTTCTCTTTTCAAAGGACCTCATTTAAGTTTTGCTTCAGTTTTTTTCTAAAGAAACGACGAAATGACGGGAGCGTAACCTATATAGTTTTTTGATAAACAATATTAGACCTTATTTCTTTACGATATTGATGAAATTTGCTGTGAAGCAAAACGCATAAGTAACTGTATTCATACTTCAGAGTGGTAATCCTTGTTTCTTTTTCAAATGGACCAAAAAAGTATTTGGTAATCGATCTTTGTAGGCTAACATTACCCTTCAGAGCAAAGAAATTATATTAACTAACTAGCTGTTGCCCGCGACTTCATCCGCGCATTATTAACATAAAAAGTACACTTTATATGCCCGTCTATGTCGAAATTGGCCCAGCAGTTTCGGAGTTTACCCGGAATAAACGCGGCTTGCGGACAGACAGACAGACAAAAAGTTTTTAAATGCGATTTTCGTTATCAGAAACAAATACATCATCTCCCCGAAATCTATAATTTTTTCTTTTGATATTACAAACAAACACTCCAATTTTATTACATGTATTGATTCATATTATAACATTTTATGACCTATCCATTTGTACAGATCAGTGACTGTAGTTCTGTGTAAATATCAGCACGTATTGTGTGCGTCATCAACAAATATTTGCACAACCAATTAGGGTGGTGAAATTTATATTAGGGGTTCCTCGATCTTTATTAGTTTAGGCTCGTGATACATTTCTTCTAGAGTAAACTTATCTATATTAAGACATTTATTATTATTAGTGAAAGGTACTGAGTTAAACCTTTAGTGGTCCAATTGGTCAAATTTCGACTATCTTACTAATATTATAAATGCGAAAGTTTAGATGGATGGATGGATGGATGTTAAATTTGGCATAGATGTAGAGGATAGTCTGGAAGAACACATAGGCTGCTCACTTTTGTTTTATTTTAATTCCGCGCGGACGGAGTCGCGGGCGAAAGCTAGTTATACATAATTTTTTTATTAAAAAATAGTGTTAATATGTCCTTGATAATAAATTCTATTGTAGTTTTGTGTAAATACAACTCTGTGGTAAAAACTTTTCTCTTCAAATTACAGTAAAATATTTATATTTTAAGAAATTAAAATTATTAATTCTATATCTACGAGTATCTTTACATAGTTATAATGAAATTGGAGTATCTGCAATATGAGAAAAATTCCAGATTTCGGGAAGATGATGTATTTGCGTTGCTGATAACGATGCATTTAAAATATTTTGTCTGTCTGTCTGTCCGCAACCTGCATTTGTTCCGGCAATCTCCGAAACGGCGGGGCCGATTTCGACCGTTCTTTCACTAAAGGTTAGCTGTAGACATTATAGGCTACTTTTTATCTTAATATTGAGTAGACAAAGACGCGGGCAACAGCTAGTTTTTAATATAACTAATTGTTTTTTTTATATATGAGATAAGGTGGCAAACGAGCAAGCGGCCACCTGAATCCACCGAAATGGAAAGCGACCGCTGCCCATAAACATCCGTAATTGCAGATGCGTTGCCTACTCTTAATTGACGTAGGAGGAGACGCACATAAAGAGGACATTTCACTTTCCTATGCTTATCCTCCACCGTCTAATCCACTTTTCCTTCCCATCCTTTGCTCTTAAGGGTGGTAAGGAAAAGGGACTAAAATCAGGCCACCAGCACCACACTCATCAGACGAAACGCGGAATTACTTCTACTTCACGCCTGTCTTCTGTGTGTTCGTGGTATTACACCAGACGAGCCGGCCCATTCGTGTGAAGATGTGAAAGCGGGCTCTACCACTGTCAAACTAATAATTTTGTAAACAATAATATGTCGTTACTTTAATTAAAGTATATTAAAGCTACATTATTTGTAACATGAACTGTATTAAGTTGAAGTTATTTCACAAAGTATAACTTGGTCCATTTACATTTTCTTTTTTCAATTAAAAGAAAAATTGAAGTGCGGCTAATAAAAAGCTCTACAGACAGAGAAACTCTTTTACGAAGTATCTTTCATTTATTCTTGTCTGATACTGGATGGTTAATTGGTTGAGAAATGCAAGAGGATTTTGTATTTTTAATATCTATAAAAGATCTTACTTATCTTACTAATATTATAAAAGCGAAATTATTTATGAACTAGCTGTTCCAGTGTGACTTCATCCGGCTGAAATTGTGAAAATTTTATTTTATTGTTAACATTTGCCGAATTATCAATAGCAAATGTCAAAATGACATAACATGACAAACCTTGACAGTCTTGCTTCCTTGATGTTGGCAGCAACTTATGGTTTCTTTCCCACATTAGGGTTTTTATCCAAAATATATACCCCCAAAGTTTAATGGTGTGAATATTTATAGTCTAAAGCGTGACGTAAGCGTAGGGCTTTTTATTAAAGAAAAATATGCTGTAATTGGTGACATCTTAGGCAACAAAGAAGTGTGTGTTTACGCTTTATTATAATGGTATAGAGTAGAGTAGTATAGCCTCCAGAACGATTTAACAGATATCTCTGAAATTTGGCATAGATGTAGAGTCGGGAAGAAGACACAGGCTACTTAAGTTATTTATTTAATTCCGCGCGGACGATGTCGTGGTCTACAGCTAGTATTTTTTTATAAACACTGGGCTTTTACCTTACATTTTTACAATGTTTGTATGACAGAATTTAGTTAGATTTTTACTCAAAAACAAATGAATCTAATATTTATTCATAAAAAAAGATCTTTCATAGTATATAAAATCTTATTTATTAAACAATTTAGCAACATAATTACAAATTAGTAACATTTTTTTAAGATATGTAATTTTTTTGCATATTGTATATATTGCGGTACGATATCCAAGTATTGATTTACTCGGTCTAAACATGAATAAACTCCCAGTTCAAAGTACACAAATAAGATAAACCGCACTTTACAAGCCATGATAAATGATTCCTGTCCGAAAAGTTATTTGTTTCGTTGCTAACAAAATATCTTACTCGAATATAGTTTTGTAGAATCTTTTGACACATTATTATGTTAAAATTAATTTTGCTTCTCTTCTTTGCTTCTCTGTTTTATGAGAGAGAGAATAAAACAAGAGACCTAAGAACTTTTGTCGTGTTAAAATGGAACTGGACAATTATCAATGGGCTGTTAGGAAATCAGAAATATCTCCACATAATATCAGTCTATGAAGTCTTGGTAGTTTAATGCACTGCTGTATATGTATAGCTCTTCCAGTAACCAGATACCTATTTCTTACTCCTGGTGTCTAGGCTCCTTCTTACTGCTACCGCTATCTGATTAACGTCGTTGTTAGCTCTTAGATGCCTCGAACGAAAGGCACAAGGATATCTTAAGTTAATGGTTACATTAAATCTATTTTAAATAGTATTCTATCAGAATATGATTCCTACTCGTGCTCTTATTGTCTTATGCTGAGTTTCTGAAGTTTACATTTATTTTATCACTATCTAGTTATGCATTAGTGTTAGGTTAATCTGTTTCCAAGGAATAAACCTCAAGTTAG